TAAATATTCTTTTTTATATTTTTAATATTTTTAATTAGCTTAGTTTTATATTTTTATAAAAGCTTTATAAGCTATATATATTAATAAATTATTTTATATAACTATTTAATAAGGTTTAAATAGATTTTAAAGTCTTTAGAGTTTTAAAAAAAATATAAGTTTTAAATAGTTATATTCTTTTTCTTAGTAGTAGTAAAGCTAAACTAATTAATATACTATTTTAATAGTTTTATAAATAAGTAGCTAATAAATAACTTAGTAGTAGAAAGTATTATATATTTCTTTTAAAATAAACTAAAAACTAGTTATAGATAAATAATATATTTAAGGAGTATTTTTAAGAAAATAATAATATTATTTATAAATATATAAATAAAATTGTAATATAAGCAAAAAAGCTTATTAATTTATTTCTATATACAGAAGGAAAAGTTTTTATAGCCTATTAATACTAGATTTAATTATTTCTATTTATAGTATAATACTATAATAAACTTATTCTTATTTTCAACTTTTACTATAAACTAGTAAAAATATATTTATATATTAATAATAGTTATATAAGTATAGCTAGCTATTATTTTAATAATATTTATTTATAAAGGAAATAAATATATATTATTAATAAAGGCTTTATTAAAAACTTTAATATTAACTATAATATATCTTTTTAGTTCTTTTTTAAAAAGTGTTTTCTAAGTAATAAAGTAGGGATATAAATATAATATTAACTAGTTTAACTAAATTATCTTTTTTTATAAATATAGCTTATTAAATATATTATTAATAACCTTTTAATCTTTTAAGCTAATAGGGTAGATATAAGCTAGTTTTAAGTTTATATTTAGTTTTAAAAGAATTAATATCTATTCTAATTCTAGCAAATCTATAATAGTTTTTTAATTAATTTAAATAATAGGAAACTTTTTAACTATATTTATAAGCTAGTTTACTATATATATATTATTATAGACTATAATACTACTAAGTAATTAATATTCTAAGCTAGTATTAACTATTATAAAGTTAATAATAAAAAATAAAATACTAGAAGCTATTATTATAGTAAATATAATAAAGCTTTTAATTAATTTATCTATTTACCCTTTTTAGTAAATAGGGTTTACTATAGTATATAATATATCTTTAAATATAATAAAGTAATAAAAGTCTTAATTAAACTTTATAATAGTATTTAATTTTATTTTCTTATTAATTATAACAAGTTCTAAAGAAGTATTTATTACTTATATAAATAATATTAATATATTAGTAAAATAAGAGAAAATGCCTCCCTTAGAGCCTAGATTAGATTAGTATTTTAGTTTAAAAAGTAAGTCTTATTTTAGAAGCCTTTTAATAAAGAAAACTAAAATATTTATAAGAGAATAAAGAAGTATTATAATAAGCTTATAAAAATAGATTATGTATTTAATAAAGTTAAGTAATTACTTAATAATATTAATATTAATATTAATATTATAATATAAACTAATAATAAAAAATAATTTTATAAAATATATTATTATATCTTTAAATATAAAAATATTTTAACTAATAAGAAAGTTAGCTTTAAAATTATTTATAAAATAAATCTCTATAATTAATCTTATAGTAGTAAAAATACTATTAAAAAGTTTCCCTTTAAATTATAATAAAGTAATAATAAATTTAGAACTTTAATATAGTATACTATTAACTTTTTAAATAGGTATTAATAAGCTAAGTTTAAAAATTTTTATATTTAATATTATTTTTAAAAGCTTACTTTTATTTATAAGGGTTATAGTATAACTAATATTAAAATAATTAAAAAAATATATTACTATTATTAATACTAATATTAATAGTAGTATAGTAATATTTAGTAAAAGTATATTCTAATAAGATTAAAGTTTATTTATTAATAAACTAAATAATAGTTTTAATATTAAAAAAGTTTTAATAAAGTATAGCTAATAAATTAATTTCCTTTTAAATAATAGTATATTTACTACCTTTAAATTATTATAGTATAAAGTAACCTTTTTACTAGTAGTAATAGTAAAAGATATTCTATTCTTTAAATTATTTATAGTATTTCTAGTAATTATAAGTTATAATTAAGTTTATAAAGTAATTATCTTAATTGTTTTTATAAGTATTACTATATTAAATATTAAAGTTTTTATTTTTATTTATTTCTTTTAAAAGCTTTTATAATTTTTAGCTCCTATTAAAGTTATCTATTAAATTAAGTTAAATATTTTTTTTATCTTTAATATAGGCTTTATTATAATATACCTTTACTTATAAGTATTATAGAAACTAAGAATAATTATTATTATAATAATTACTATAGTTATTATAAAAGTAATTCTAACTAGGCTATAAGTAATTAGGATTATTTTAGCTAAAATAACTAATATTATTAGAGGTACTTAAACTAAGCTAAAAACTTAACTTATTTTTTCTTACTATAAAAAGGTATTAAAAAAGGGGAACTATAATTTATTACTAGTTACTTAAGGGCTAATTTCTTATTTTTAATTAATATATATTAAGAATATTATTTTTATAATACTAATTCTAATTTAAGTAAATATTATTTTAAGTAAAATTATAAAAACTAAGAAAAAGTTAAAAAAAATAAAATAGTCTAATACTATTTTAATTATAATAAGGTTTTTAATTATTATACTAATTAATTAATTAATAAGGTTAATTATTTATCTTCTATAATGAATAATTTTATCTTTAACTAATAGTTTACTATTAATATTTCTAAATATTAAAATTATATAAAAATATATTAGTAGATATATTATAATTTAGTTTAAAGATATTATATTAAAAGTTAAAATTAAAACTATTTTATATAAGTAATAGCTAGTTAGTAGAAAAGCTAAATTCTATAATCTTTAATACTTAAAAAAGTAATTATATATATTTATAAAGTTTATAATATTAAGTAGTATCTAAAAGTATATATTTTTTTACTAAGATATAAACTTATACCTATAAAGCGAAAAGGTTTAAAATAGTAGAATAAGAAATTTTCCTATTCTTTAATATTATTATTATAAGTAACTAGTTATTTTTATTATTTATTAGTTCTAATATATACTAGCTAAAAGCTTAACTATATAATAAAAGCTAGAGATTATTTCTTATTAATAAGGTACTTTTTATCTTTACTATATTATAAACTTTATTTATAAAAGTAAAGATATTTTAAAAGTAAGTATTTTTATTTATATACTCTATTCTAAAAATAGTATCTAAAGACTTATAATTATAAAAGGAATTAAAAAAGCTTAAATTACTTAAGAATTATTAATCTAGATTACTATTTATTAATAATATTATTCTATTAAAGCCTTATAGGCTAGGTAGTCCTAGTAGACTAGGAAGGCTTAATACTCTAGCCGCTCCTAGCTAGAAATTAACAAGAGTAACTTAAATAGTCTTATTTATAATATAGTATATTATAGCTTTATCTATATTAATAGTATTTATACTAGCGTTAGTAGAACTAGGTTTTTATTCCTATTTCTTAATTATTAATAGGTTAGGATTAATTAGTCTTTAGTAAATTCCTTTTTTAATTAAAGTTTAACTTAAATTAATATAAGGGTTTATACTCTTACTAGTAAAAATACTTAAGAAAGATAGGGTCTATAATATAGTATTTATTAGGATTAGGGCTAGTTAATTTATATAAGAGTATAATACTTTTTATAGTTTTAATTAATTAATAGCTTATTATAATAGCTAAGTAACTTCTAGTTCTAGTAAGTAAACTTAAACTCTATTGCTTTTATTAAAAGATTAAGACTAAAGTTAAAAGGGCTATAGTATTTACTATATAATTTAATTAAGCTTTTTAATAATATTAATATTAAAGTTTTTATTATAATTATAAAAGGAATTATTTAATAGAGGTTATAGAAAAAAAAACTATTAAAGAAATAAAAAAGTAAATATTAATTTTTTAGTAATAAGTTATTTAATTAATTATTATAATATTATTAAATATTTATTTATTTTATTACTTACTTTAATATAATTTTTAAAATTATTAGTATAATATTATATTATTATAATTCTATTTATCTAAACTATTTTATAGAATAATCTTTCTTAATAAAAAGAATCTTAAGTTTCTTATATTAAATATTAACCTTATATATTACCCTATAATATATATTATAATATAATAAATAAAGTAATTAGTTTTAGTTTTAATAGTTATTAGTATTACACTTTATATAAGTAAAAACTACTTTTAAAAGGGGCTTAAATATAACTCCTTATAAATAGTAAAAAATTATTATTTTTATTATAATATATAAGTAGGAATTAAACTAGGGACTATATATAATAAAAGTATTTTAATAGCTTACTTTACTAACTAAGCTATAGGGTTAAATATAGGGAAATAAAGCTTATTAGGCTATAAAAACAATGTTTTTAAAACTAGGAGTAAAGAATTTACTATACTACTAAGCTTATAAATAAAATTAATATACTTAGATTTTAAGTTAAATTAATTAGATCCACATTCTAATGCCTACGATAGCGTAGAATTATATATAAATTGTATAGACAGCTACGCCAAGCCAGGCACTATAGGGCTAAAATAGCCGGCTCGGGGGTCTAGCCGGTTGGGGGGTTATCTCTTCTATTGTTTGCAACGACCCCAAAAAAACACTAGAACTAGTTCTAACTCCAGGGCACGGCAGCTAGCCTGGTCCAACCTAGTGGGTTTGGAATGCTCAATTCCTGGCAATCACCAACGTTTGAAACTTACGTTTCTCTCTACAATATCAGCTCGGTATGTCAATGGAAACACCGGTGTCTATTAGTAGGCATTGGCCGGTCGATCCACAAGAAGACGTCCTAATCTCGAAAGACCGCATTTGGGTTGATGGCTGTTTTGATTTTGCCCATCATGGTATTGTGTAAGGCGCTGGCGTTCAAAGGTCTGGCTAAAGATCAGTCAAGGCCATGCCGGAGCAATGCTGCAAGCTAGGAGGCTCGGGAAAGAGCTTCTGGTGGGTGTCCACAGCGACGAGGAGATCCTTCACAATAAAGGGCCAACCGTCATGAGCTTGAAGGAGCGGTGTGTGTCCTTTACGCAAAATACGCAGAGCTAGCTGAGTAAATCTAACCAGGGTTGCTGCAGTAGAGGCATGTCGTTGGTCGACCAAGTCTATACCCAATGCTCCCTACGTGACTTCCTTGCCCTGGATCTCTCACTACGGCTGCTTCTACGTTGTTCATGGAGACGATATCACTTCAGACAGCAATGGCGAAGACTGTTACAGGTTCGTCAAATCAGCTGGGCGCTTTTTAACCGTCCGACGGACCCCCGGGATCTCTACGACAGATCTCGTAGGCCGGATGTTACTGTGCACCAAAGGTCACTTTATTCGGTCTCTGGACTGCGTCTTGGATGGTGAAGAGGGATCTGGCGATGCCGAAGAGCGAAAAAGAATTGGCTCTGAAATGCGTCTGAGAATCGAGGAGTATGCAACAGACCAAACGGGCCGGAACCCTGGCTGCCCAGTCTATTCTTGGTCTTCCTTGGACGTCCAAAGTAGTGATACAGACTTGAATGCAAAGGGCACTTGCCAGCTCATGGTCGCCGGTCAGCGACCTGCACCCGGACAAAGGATTGTATATGTGGATGGAGGATTCGATCTCTTCTCATCTGGGCACATAGAGTTTTTACGCCAAGTCACGATCAAAGAAGAGGAGATAGGTCGAAAAAGAGGTTGGTCTGGAGAGAATGGCACTGGTCGCTCGCCAGCCTATATCATAGCGGGTGTGCATGACGACAACGTGATAAATTGTTGGAAGGGCGTGAATTATCCTATAATGAACATATATGAACGGGGCCTCTGTGTCCTTCAATGTTGTGTAAGTACACAAGGTTGCTCCTCTCTGCAAATGTCTGATCAACGTCGCAGTACATCGATTCTGTCGTCTTCTCAGCACCTTTCAAGCCTTCAGGCTCGTTCCTCACGAGTCTGCCCTTTGGACAGCCTCACGTAGTCTACCATGGCCCGACATCATACATACCATTGAATTATGACCCCTACCTAGATGCGAAGAGGCTTGGTATATATCAACAGATCAGTGGCCACGACTTTCAGGATATCAATGCTGGAGAAATCGTGCAGAGAATATTAAAGAGTAAGGCTTTGTATGAAGCCAGGCAAATGGCAAAGGGCGAGAAAAGTGTCCTCGAGCAGGCGACTTCCGCTCATGCGGGAGCTATAGCGACTACATCCGATCACGTCTCGGAGCCGTGATCTAAAATGCCATGGAGGAGACATCAGCCTGCCTATACACTCGGAGAACTTGAAACCAACTATGGATGCACTTGATCCCCCCTGGCCGGCGTCGACCGCAACTTACAAATGGTGGCTAGTTACTGAAGAGTGAAGATCATCAGACGCAAAAAACTGTCCACTAAGCTCAGCTTTCCTAGGCAATTGTTGTTCAATGACAACGAGATCTGCTGACCCTTTCCAAATCTATCAAGACTCACCATGCGCTTCTACTAGGCAGTCGTCGGCAGTGCCGGTCTTTTTGGACTGGTAGGTTGACATCCTGATCCGCTCAAAATTCGCAGTATTCGAACAGCCACTGTGCTTACTGTATCTTATGCTTCTGCGCGAACATCTTCATACGGCTCCCTGGAGTAGGTCTACTTCTATTTCATTAGTTCGTTGAGTCGATGATGAAAGTCTCACAGCGTTGCCCATGCTGTTTTGTAGTCAAATCAATGTGTACAGCACGCTAGCGTTTTCATCGTTTCAAACTTTTTGCTCGCAAAGAATGACTCTTGCTGTATGTGTGTAAAGTATGAGCGAATGATGCACCTATTCCTTACATCATGTCGTTTCTCCAATTGCAAGAATAGACTATTCTATGTTTGGCAACCATCAAGCTTCAAGCTCTAAGGCTTGATTAGTGCCTTTATTCGCATAGAGATGCCCACCCCGCGAGTGGGCTCATATGGCCATCCTGCTGGATCTTCAAATTTTGAACCACACCGCGTAGTCAGATCCTATAAGCCTAATGGTCAATGCTTGAGATTCACACTCATAGTCGTGTGCGGACTCACCAGGGAAACGTAACAAATCAGGGGAAAGAATCGGAGCGATATCTCAATCAGTCCCTCCTTAGAAGCTCCGAGCTAGAAGATCGATCGTTTACAAAGCTACGAGGCCAAAGTGCCTCATGCTGTTAGGTGGGCTTAGGTCTCAATACTCTTCCTCTGTCAGGAGAGCAAAGTACGTTGCTTGCATCTTATCAAGTTTTGTTTCTCTCGCACCGAAAGCCTAGACATAATCACGTCAATACTCGAAGGGACTGGATCGCTGTAGGTTAGACTTCCTACCCTTTCAGCTTCCTCCATAGCCACGATCGTTTCGTCTGTCTCCTTTTCAAGCTCTTCCAAGGTTTTCTTCTTCGCAGCTTCGATCTCGCGTTGCAAAATCTGGACATTGGAGACAATCGTTTGCCGAGTGTCATGAACGCCCTCTAGGATTTGCTCAAAAGTCTCGCTCTCAAAGAGAGCTTTCGTGGCCGCTTCCACCGCGGCGCGAGCTTTGATCCATTCTACTTGCTGGCTTGAAATCTCCTTTCTCTTCGTGCTAAGTTCTCGGTCCAAGGACTTCATTATAGTTCCAAGATCCGTGACGCCTGACTGCGAACCATCAGCTTTGTACCACTCCACCCCATCCGCTTGGAGCGGGCGAAAGTAGTCGTGGCCATGATGTTCAAGCTTCTGTGATGTCAAGCTCAGGTCATTGACCGCTTGCGCGAGATGTGCTGAGATATCGCGTTTTGCTTCACCGACGTCGCTCAATATTTTGGCCTCGATGCACGCCCGCGAATTCTGAACTGTGCCTAAGCAGCTTTAAGCAGATGTATCAGGCACATGGCGCCATGATGACTTACCTGAGAATGCTCGCGCTAATGCATGCTCCTTCTTCAACTTTTCCTTGGCCGCTGCTTTCCTATTCATTTCACGTTGCTTCTTCTGAATTACGAATTTGCGGCGACCAGCTTCTTCTGCTCTTCGGGCCTCTGACATCAGCTTCTCTATAACAGGGTTTTTGGAAGTGTCGGTGGGTGCGTTTTTCGCAAATTTCGCCATTCTTGCAGACTTATTGAGGAGCCGCGAAACAGGAAGTCAAGAACGATTGAGAGGCAGGACGTGGAAAAACGGAGACTTAGATAGCAAAAATGGGAGGAACGTGCTTTAAGCGCGACGAAAAATGAGGCAGGCCCAACCCCTCAAGAAAGGAACATTGCCACCGCAAGTGTTGACACACATCTTCCGCCCTGAAGCTACCATCATAATTGCCCTCAAAGCATCGAGCATTATATGGAGAGACCACAACCTAGAATCCCTGATGAATGTCAGATCTATCTCACTACCAACCCACGCTTATGGGACGCCTCCTAGGTTTGATGCTCCACCACAACGCCCTTGTCCTCTAGTAACGTCGAGAGCTCTCCACTTTGGTGCATTTGAAGCAAAATGTCGCACCCTCCCACAAATTCACGGCCCACGTATAGCTGCGGTATCGTAGGCCACTCCGAAAATTCTTTGATACCTTTTGAAATGATTGAGCTTACGGCTGGGAGGGGGAAGTGATCCGACTTACCTTGCCTCAATTCATCGTCTTCAAGGACGTTAAAGGCTGAGAACTTCTTGGGATCTACGCCCTCCCGCCCCAAGATTTCGATCGTCGCCCTTGAAAAGCCACATTGCGGCGTCTCGGGCGTCCCTTTCATGAACAGTACTACGGGCTTGGATGCTACAGCGTTGTCAATGGCCGCTCGGGTCTCAACGGAGATCCATCGTGTCGCGTGGCTTTGCAAAGAGCTGTGCTGGTTGAAGTTTGACGACTTCCACTTCCTCTTGGTATGACTTAGGCACGCCGTTCCCATACGCTAGACGTTTGCGTGAGCATCGCACTCATCATTTCAGTTCGGTAACATACCCATCGTTGCACCACTGTAGAAAACATCGCGAGTGTAGTCGATCGATTGCTTTGAAGAGAGTGAATTTCGCAATCACGAGATGTATTACGCTAACACTATTTAAAAGCAATAGTATAGTTCTATTATATTAAGAGTAAATATTAATATTGATTTAGAATTAATAGATACTCTATACTAGTTATAATATATAAGGTAAAGAGTTTATTAGTTTTAAATATTTTAATATAAAAATAAATTAATATTAAATAAAAAGTATTAAAAATTTATAAATTTAAATATATTATAATATTTTTCTATATAAATATTAGTTTATTTAATATTTATAAAAGTTAATTTATTATATAAGATTTATTTTTTTATAATATAGAAAAGTAATAAATTAGTAAAATAATTAATATTTAATTTTCTTTTAAATTTTAATTATAATTAATATAAGTTTTAAAATATTATTATAAGTTTATACTTATATTCTTTAAATATTTATTTATTATAAAATAAAATATAATAAACAATATATATAAAAGTTTTTAATAATCTTTATTTTATTTTATATTATTATTATTAAGAATTTACTTAGGAGTAAAAACTAGCTCTTAAGGCTTAGAAAAGATAAAAAGAACTAAGATAAAGAATTAACTTTATTTTAAATAAAAATCTTATTTATATACTTAATAAAAATTATTATATATTAATCTTTTAATCTAAATATATTTATTATTACTTTATATAAAAGTAGTTTATAATATTTATTAAGTTTTTAATACTACTATTTCTATATATTTAAGAAGGATATAATCTAGATTATAATAGTACTTTCTCTTTCTATTAAAATATATTTTTATATTAGTTATAAATAGTTTAAAATAAAAGTAAATAATTATATTAATTAAGAAGTTAAATACTTTAAATATAATTAAGAATTTATTAATTATATAGTTTATTTTTATATATTAGTTTTTTAAAATAATTAAGTAATATTATTATTAATTATAGAAACTAACTATTTAAAGGATTTAAACTATAATAAGAATTATACTTAAATATTTTAATAAATTATTTTTAATAAGCTTTATATATTACTTTAAATACTTTTATTTTTATTAAATAACCTTATAATATAGTTAATTGTTACGACCTTATGCAATAGGCATAACTAGGTAATTACTATAGGATAGAGACTATAGCTATACTAAGTTATAAAGAAAAATAACTAAAAAAAGGAAAAAATAGCTAAAATATTTAAATATACTTAAGTATTAAAAGTACTAAGTAACCTCTAAATTAAGTAAGCTTAAAGTAATTAAAAGTTAAATATTATTAAATAAGTTAAATAAAATCATATATATAAAATCTTTTATTCTTTTTTTTAAATAGATTTCTTTATATTTAATATAAGTTTTATTTTTTATTATAAAATTTAAAATAGTTATAACTTAATTTTATTTTACTATTTTATTTTTATTTATTTTCTAACTACTATTTATATTTTAAGAGAACTAACCTACTAATTTATAGTTAAATTAGCTAATACTATTTATTAGTTTAAATATTAAAGTTATAATATATTAAATACTTTTAAAATAAATATAACTAGATTTACTATAAGTAAGCAGTACTCCTAGTAAAAGTATATAATATATTAACTAACTACTATTAAAAAAAATAGAACTAAACCTTTAAAGCTTAATTTCTTTTATAAAAAAAATAAGCTTAATAACTAGTTATTTTAATTAGATTTTTATTTTAAATTAATATTTAATATTAAAAAAAAAATTAAAGTAGCTTTTATAACAATATATATAAGAGGTAAAGTATTATTATAAATTAATTTAGACTTTAGAAAATATATAAATAAAACTATTAATATAAAAACCTATAAATAAATTAAAAACTATTCTAAATTTAAGAAATAAATTTAATAAGTATTTAGACTTACTAATAAAAAATAGTATATTAAATTAGTAATATAATAACTATAATAAACTAAAGGAGTAGCTAATTATATAACTATCTTCTAATATTATATAGTAATAATAAAATAAAATAATAAAGTTTAAATATTTATATTAAAATAAAGATTAAAAAATAATATTTAAAATAAACTTATATATTATAGTAAAGAGATTAAAAATACTAATAATTTTATAAAATAATAATTAAAATAAATAATAAGCTATATTAATAATATATAAAGTAAAATAAATAATAAAGATAATATATAAGATAAATTATTATAGGATATAATAATAATATAATAAGATATTAAGGGTATTATAACTATAAAGTAAAATAGCTAGGAAGTACTAATCTATAAAGTAACCTTATAAAGCTAGATATATTAATATTATAATATAATAATAAAAATAATTATAAGAAGCTTAACTAAAAAAAGTATTATAAATATAGTAAGATAGGATATATTATATATAACTATTAGTTAAAAAACTAAATATAAAGATAGTTAAATATTTTATAAAGATTTCTATTATTATATTTATTATTAATTAATAATAAAGAAGCTAAAAGCTTAATAAGTAATATAAATTTAAATATATTATTTTTTATAGTAATAGATAATAATATTTAAGAATAAATATTAATTAAATATAAAAAGTAAAAACAAATTAATATAATAAATAATACTCTATAAAATATAGAAGAAATATATAAACTATTTAATATAAATTTTAATAAAATAATAGAACAACTTAAATAAAAATAATAAATATATAAATAGTATAATTATAAATAGAACTATTTTAAAAATAAGCTATAAAATCTTTTTAATAAACTAAAATAATATAGGAATATAGAACTAAAAAATAGCAATAAATAACTTCTTAAGAAAATACTACATTTATATATTAACTTCTAGCTTAGATACTAAGTAAATAATACTATATATATACTAGAAAATAAAGTCTTTAAAATAGTAATATAATAAATTATTTATTAAAAACTTTATAAAAGAACTATTTAAACTAATTATATAATTAACTAATATATATTTTATTTAGTTAATAAATATAAAAATAAGTTCTTTCTAAGATATAGAAATAAATAATATAATTTATATTATTAATCTTTAATAAAAAAACTAAAAAATAAAATATACTTGCTATATATCCTATAAGAAGAAGACTAGCTTTTAATATAGCAATAGAACTTTATATAATAATATTATAAAAACGTACTATATAAAATATATTAAAATAAGAAATTATAATAGGGAATATTATTTAAAGCAATAATTAATAATCTTAGTAAAGTATAAAATATTAAAAAATATAACTTATATATTATAATAAATATATAGCTTAATAATATATTAATAACTATATTAATAGATATAAAAATAGAAAGAAATTATATTTTAAAATAAATAATATAAAAATATAAATTAAAATATAAATAATAAATAAACTATATATAATTATAATAGCTATAAAAAAATATATAAATAGTAATAGCTATTTAATAGTATAATAAAAATATAATATTTAATATACTTAAAATAGCTATTTATAATATTATATTAAAAATACTTTAATTAAAAAAATAGAACTTAACTAATAACTAGCTATTTAGAAAACTAAGGTTTAAAAATAAGCTTATTATTAAAGCTTAAAAACCTAAGCAATCTATAACTATAACCTTAAATAAAAGAATTTAATAGAATATTATAAATACTTATATATTTTAAATTTTAAAAAATAAATAGCTAAATAGTATATTAACTTTAATAAATATAAAAAAAGTTAACTAATTATAAAATTAAAAAAAAGAGTATTAATAAAGCTTTTATACTATTAGAATATAGAAAATAATAATATTTTTTTAAAAAAAATAAAAAAAGAAATATTATTACTATATTAACCTTAGAATTATTAGATTAAATTAATTAATAATAAGCAACTAATATTTAAACTTATATATTAATTATTAAAAATAGAACTTAAAACTCTAAATAAATACTTAAAAGAAAACTTTATAAAAAAATTTATAAAATTGTTATTTTTTTTAGCTAAATACTTAATTCTTTTTATTTTAAAAAAGAATAATAAACTATAATTATATATAAACTATAAAAAACTTAATAATATTATAATAAAAAATAAGTATTTATTATTAAATATAAATAAACTT